CAGACACAGGTAAGAGCCCCTGTCAGCCTGAGCAAAAACAACTTATGCAGAGAGAAGCAGTTATTGACAAGTGATCCTCCTGGAAGTTTCAGTGGTTATCTTCTGCTTCCATTTTTTAAGTGCTCTGTCCATCTCCTGATGCACCAAAGAGTAAGAATTGCGTAACTGTGGATCTAGCTAGGCAACTCAGTTTGAAACTTTTTTAGGAGACATCTCCATGTATATATAATAGCATGTTCATAAGCAATAAAGTGAATATTTGAGTTGAAGAACTTTTCATTTCACACGCTTCTTTCTGCATTACTGCATTATTTCTAATGCTGTGTCCATCATAAAACATGTTCCATATACTTGCATAGCCAAATGATATTTATCTGGTAATACATTTGTTACCATATTTCTAATCAGAATACGTGCCCTTAACATTGACATGCTACAACAAATCGTCTGCTACTTGTATCAGTATTTAGACCTGAAGAATACATGCAGATCTTCTCACTGCTACAGTTATACCAGTTGAAGAGCTCCACACACTTCTTGTGAGCTACCGCCCTTCCCAGTTTGCTGGTTCAGCTGCTCACATGAACCATATCAGTCAAAATAAGTGGGATAGGCTTCCATATTTTAAGATCTTTGCAAATGCGGTTCATTTTGCAAATGCGGTTCATTTTGCAAATGTGTGAAAACATTTTATTGTGAGGTTTGCAGTCCACATAAAGAATGTGCAGGTTTGGCACTGAGGTGAAATAAAAATGAGAAATAATGAAAACATTTAGCACAAATCAAGCAGTCAAGTTCTCTCTTTTTGTTATGACTTTTAGGTTATTTACAGTATCTCATTTATTTGCTTCCTTTTCAGGAAGTATTAGGTTTACAGCTCCATAGATTTCATCTTAGAACAGATCTGGCTTGAGGGTGTCATGAAGGAAAAAGGTGGAAGGAAGTAATACAGAAATCAGGATCACATTGCTATCGTGAATATCTTCAGCTATATTCTCCAATGGCTGCTTTGCTGGTCTGTTCTGCATTAAGATTTTCTGGATATCAACCAATCTAAAGTTATAGTACCCAGAAAGAAGAGAGAAGGTAAATGGTCTAACAATTGTTTGATTTAGGTTTAATAGCACAGAGATGAGAGTATGCGTGAACTCAGATTTCCTGTGATGCATTAGGGGTCTGGGGTGAAATCCACCGTCAGCAGAAAAACACAGTAGGAAAAGCTGGAATGCAATGCTTGAAATTCAAGAGAGCGATGAGATTGTAATTGATTTGTCTGTAAATGACAAGCTCAGTGGAACACAAAGATATTATGTATTAAAGTAATTTAATGCTGAAAATGGACTGGCAAGAATATTAATCATTATGATTCAGGTTTATTCCAATCTTGGACTTTCAGAAACTAGGATGAGATCTAATGCAAGGGGTATTTTATCTGCATTTTCCCCATTATCTTTGTAACATTTCACTCTAAAGTCTGTGATAATCACCACTGTACAAGATTGGAGACTTGGCTAGAGTCCCTTAAGATCTGATCCAGTCTGGCAAGTTACTGCTTGTAGTAGTTTAACATTCTCTGAAGTGCTCTTTATTCCCTATCCTGTTAGTATGGATTTCCCTTTCCAACTGCTCTTCTGTCAGCTCTGTTATCCATCCTATATTCAGCACATTGAGCTTGTAACAGTTCCTTGGAAAAAAACAGAAAACCCAAAACCATCTAGAGGGAAATTTCTGAGCGTTGACACAAAATTCCACATACAACACTGGTTCCATTTTCACCACATGCCTTTTCCAAAGCAAACAGCTTGCTTTCCTGTTAACTGGAAGGTGTGAGGTTGCGGAGCTTTGGAGCTGTGTGAATCCCGTTGCTGTCCCAGGAGCAATGCTGTTTCCTCTCTTCTTTCCTTCCTTTTTGCTTCCTGGGGCTTTATTTTCTGTCAGAGGTCCATCCTTTTTGAATGACTGTCAAATGCTTGTGCAGGTGGCAGAAGTGAAAAAGCGGTGGAGCCTGGAGTCATCGCAAGCTCTAGTGGGATCAGAGATGGTTGATTTGAACTTCTGATAGGATTTGGAAGATAATACTTAGTACACTTAGTTTTCTAAAACAAAAAGGACTTTTGTTCAGACCTTAGGAAACTGTAATGAAAGCCACACATAATGTTTCAGTGGGTAAATTCTGACTAAAAATAAGTAAATTGTAGGTTGACTTTGTGATTCCAAGCCATATACTCAAGCCTTTCTCCATAATATTAGATTTCATTCTACCAGTGACCATTGCAGTTCTCTTCAGCACTTGTTGGCATATTCCAGGATAAAAGTTAGAGATCAAACAGAAGATGGAATTAGAGAGGACATGATTCAAGAGAATTTTTTCTGAAATTACTGTCAGGATGAGCAATTGCAGAACAATTCTCCGGATCATTTGGATTTTGAAAAGGCAAAAAACCGAGGTGGGTACTTGTGTTTTCAGTAACATATTTGAAAGTGTAATCAATAGAGATTACCCAGCCAGTACTCGAGAGATATTTAATAAGATCTAAGTGTGTATATTCTTAAATATTTTTTGCTCTTCTCACACAAATGATCCGTCTGGCCTAAAGTATGCTGGCTTTAACCCCTAAAATGAAGTAGGGGAGAGCTTCACAGTGATTTCTCTTGGGCTGTTTTGCATGGACAAAGTGCTTTTAAATACAAGCTTTGTATCCACCGTTCTGATGTTTTTGCCTAATATTGCTGCTTTACTTTGAAAATAGATGAGCAGTTACCATCTCGGAGTGGAGGCTCAGAGGCTGAGCATTACCTGTGGCTTATAGGATACGGGGCGGCCTCTTTCCTCCCCTTCAATAAAGAAATCTTGGTCTCTAGATGTAGCAGCAATCCTTCATCAGAGCAACAGAAATGCTGGACTTGCTCACAGTTTGCACATGTGTTTTGTCTGATATCAAAGACATTTCAGCCATAATGTACAAAATGCTGTTGCGTGGGCCCAGTCCAGGGAATTTGGTGGTCTCCAAGAAGTCTATTTTATATTGGGATAATGGCAGATACGACGACTCCTCTTTTTTCAAAAGTATACATTCCAGAAGACTTCAGCTAGTTGTTCTGGGTATCAGGAAGGAATTTGTTTAAACATAAAACTTTCATTAAGATAATGAGATGTAAAATGAGTATCATGTTACTGACTGCAAGGCAGAAAACCATCTGATCGTGGTGAAGGAGAGTGTGGCATAACTGCAAAGGAGGATGGGGAAGGAGGCAGGGATAGCCACCAAAGTCATTGCATTATTTCTGCAGATGGGAGACCTTTGATTCATACAGCGCAATGTCTGTCTTTGTAACTGTCACGAGCTGCCAGATCCATCTCTTCACACCTTTTGAACACAGGCAGGCAGATGAACTCCTCGATTCAACAGCTTCTTCAGCCATTCTCATGAGTGTTTTGTTAATCATTCTGACTCTGGCTTTCCTCCCCTCTCCCCTCCCAGCGCTGGGGATTTCAAGGTTCAGCTTGCATAACAGGTAATAGCAGGCATTTCCTCCTCCTGTGTCGGGATATCCTGGCGCCCTTCAGTCTCTCTCTGACTGTGTTTAAAACAGACTCCAGCACAGGAAAAAAAAAAAAGGGCAAAAAAAAAAGCCCAGTCTAAAATTAGCAGCCTTGATAGAAGAAAGGCCTACGGCTGTCCGCTGTGCTGTTTGTCAATGAAACAACACATATAAACAGGGCCAGAATGCATTTCCTCTCTGGGAAAAACAGACATGTCGAGTTTTGGGGAAGATGTGAGAGGGAGTGAGAGTAAAGCAGGCATCACACTGATGATAAGGGAGAACTATCCAAAAGGTATCCAGAGTTACAAAGACCACGGCTGTACATGAAGAGGCGGTAGGGAGGTCTTGTTATGGCAAGGCTATATATCTGTCTCTTGGAAGCACTGACTGATACTCGAGGGTGTCACTGCACCTGGAAGCTGAATCAGATGCTTTGAGAGTTACAGAACCTCTGCAGTCTCCTCCTCTTGTTTGGATTTCAGGTTCATCATCCTTAAAGGGTGTTTATTGCTGTGAGGACCATATTTAAATGACCTAGGTTGGATTTTGATCCTGCAGCAGTGTAAACCTGAGGTCTCAGTAGGTTTATACCATTCTAAATATTCTGAGGTTTTAAAGTTGAAATTAAAATTTAAAATAAAATAATAACCTATTGTTTACATTAATAATAATGATATATTTTTTAATCTGATTGTGCAAGCAGCCTCAATGTTATACTCCATTAATGACAATTTCATGCATGGATATCTTATAGGATTGGATTCTTGGTGTAATGAATACTGAGTGACCTATTTTATGTAGTAAAAAAAGGTATTATTGCAAAATGTTTACAGTTTGTTGCCGCTGCTGTCAATATGGAATTGTGATAAAACCATTTCCTCGTTTCCTCACTCATTTCTGTATACAGTCTCTGTCCATGAGAATTACTGTGGGAATTTTATTTTTAGCAGTCAATGTTATGAATTGACTTCAGCTTTCTTTCCTACGTTGCAGACGTATCTGTCTATCAAAATCCAGCTGATGGTCATTGAGTAAAATTCAGTTAGCTAAAAGCAAATAATCATGTATCAGCAAGACTTAAAAAATTTGCTCGGCCATTCGGCTCTGCTCTCAAACAATTCCTTTGGTATATTTTGTCCTGCTAAATTGTGGGATTACATTGCATCCAGTTTATTTCTTTCATGTTTGCCTTCCTGGTTTCTTAGGAAATAATAAATGCTTGTTTTTCTTGGTTGGCAGAAGACTCATTCTGATATATCCGAGATAAAAGCTTCTATTCACGTACTGCAGAATCTCATGGGGAGAGCTTTTAAGAGACAATGAGTTTACTTTTAGATTTAGGCCTTTTCGCTATTCTTTGTCACTTGAAAGATTTATAAAGTAAGAAACTCTTTTCACCTGGATTTAATAGAAGACTAAGTATTTTTTCCATAAGTAAAAAGAAGTGGACTTACTGGCAAGTTGGAACACGGCAGCTATGGCCTCCTCCCACCATTGGGTATCCTGAGAAATGATAGGTAGCTCCATCAGGCCCAGGACGAAGATGAGCTGGCCAGCAGTCAGAGCAACAGTGGCGATGAGGTTACAAGCACGCATCATGTCAAACTGCACTAGGGAAACACAAGAAGTAAGCATAAAGTTAAAATGATATAACATTGGGAAAAAGAAAATCCTGGCTGAGCAGGTATGTAAAATTTGTCAGTCCATAGAAAATGATTCTGAGACACTATTCCTATTCCCAGCAGTCCCTTACTCTAACTGCATTCCCTGTGGTTTGATTAAGAAAAGATTTTCTTTAGGATGTGTACTGAATCTTTCCTTTAGTTACACAGCATCCCATAGCTATTGCTTCAGCGCAAAACAATCTTGCATGAAACAAGCAGCTAATTTCCAAGGATGGCCCACTGGAGGTGCTTGACTTTTGCCCTGTGAAGATTCTACCTATAATTAGTAGCCAGAATTGTTGGGGGCAGGAATGGTGTTTGTTTTGCATTTGTGTGGCACTGACTGAAATGGAACCTTAGTTCATAAATAGGTTTTCAAGGCCCTAAAATAATCATCCCAAAGACAAATCTATAACACCCTGGATTTCTTTTTCACCTAGTCCATCCATATTGTCCTAGAAAACATCCTGTGGATGTTAATGCTAACATCTTACTGGTTTAAGGGAGCTTTGTATAGAGGATTCTTGACTTTTCCTTCTTTTAACATTTATTAATCTTTTGGGTGCATTGGAAAGACCCTTGTATTTCTATCTGTGTAATGAGGGAAGTGGTTACAATGAAGATGTCAATGGTTGGCAGTTCTGAATGAGGTGTTACGGCATAATTTACATGTATAAGTAAAAAGTTACCTTTTTTTTATATAT